CCCAGATGAGCTGCAAGGCAGCATTCTGCCCTGCTCGGGACCCCACAGGGCTCCCCAGTGTGAAGATGGATAGATCTGCCAGCACAGAGTTTGCAGCGATGACCTTGAGCCACCTCCTCACTTCATCCTTGTCCAGACTCCTCTCCAGGACAGGTCGAGGCCCTGATTTTACCTGGAAAGATGGAAGCAATGGTGCAAGCTCTCCTAGTTGTTCATGGATGGCTCTTCTCAGCAGGGATGGGGACTGGGGGATGTGGGTATGGATGGTGTTCCACTCGCCCAGCAGGGTTTGGTGTTGGTCTTTCTGCCATCGCTCTGTGCTCCAGCCTGGGAGCAGCACTTGGTCCCCCACCCAGGCTGCCCCTGCACATGCCAAGGGGAGATGTTGCTTGGTACCAGCACTAACACAAGGCGTGGGACAGCTTCCCTCTCTGCCCATGCAGATCCTTGCCTGCTTTCTGCCATCCCTGCGCAGGATCCTCCTGGCTCTGCAGCAGCCCTGTTCTCAACAGGTGGCTCCAGGTCCTATTTTCCTGACCTCTCCATTTCTCTTTCAGGTATGACCTCCCTTATCTAACACCTCCTGCGAGCCAGAGGTTTTCCTAACCAGCTAGCTGGCTGCTTTCCTCCCCCTCCTCTCCCTGCCATGCTCCCTGTGCTGTGGCAGACCTCACACAGACTCCCTCCGAGCCGGTTGTGCAGGATGCTTGCCAGCTCCAGAAGATCTAAGGGGAACATAGGTCATGCGGGAGCAGGACTGTGGGCTCCCCAGGAGGCTGGCTCAGTCTCTCAGCCACAGTGTCCAAGCCTGGGTGGAAAGGTTCAGAAGAAAGAACTGAAGCCATGAAAACTGCCTGTCTCCCCCGATGCTTGTGGGCTGCTGCCTTTGACTGCAGCCCTCGGGGGATGCAGAGCTCAGCATCCTGCTCCTCTTCAGTTGTGCCCAGGGTCCTCCAGGTTTATGGGCACCAAAACACTCCTGGAGCTACCTGTTTTTTAAAAGAACTCTTTCTAACAGCATCCAGCTGCCAGCCTTATGGATTGAACTCTCTCTGCCACCCAGTGTTGCACGGCCAACCAGGCACATACTACCTGGTGGGGAGAGTCTGCGAGGTTGATGGGGTAGGGATGAGTCCATGATAGAGCTTCAGCCCAGCTAGTAGCCTTATCTTGAGAGAAGGTCTTTATAACAGAGCCTTATCATTTAATTTGCATATATTTCTATATATTATGTATATATATATTCTGTACTTAAATACTCCCATGGACTCACTGCATTAAATTCTCATATGGTAAGTGCAACTGCCCTTCACTTTCAGTCCAGCCAAACATCTCTTCCCGTGGGGATCAGCACATTCCCTGTTGCTGGTGCTGCCTTGGAGGGGAGCTCAGCAGAGAGCTGGACCGGGAGCAGGTACTCTGTCCCCCCTGGTTTCCTGGGGAGCTGTGCCTTTGCCATGGCACAGAGAGCCTGTCCTGGCCAGACCTGGCTCCATCCCTGGGGAGCCTTGTCTCCTGAAGCCACCCATCTCCACGGTGCTGTGGGAAGGGGTTTC